GGGGGGGAGAAATATTTGACTTCCTGATTTGTCCTCAGTAGCCATTTCAAGCTAAAGATAGTTGTTTATTAAAGCCAAACGTGATGACTTTCAGAGTATCCCATATTGTGGTTTATTGTTGCCAACAGCAATTATTATGTAATCACTGTGAGCATGGTTAACATTTTCTTTCTTTAAACAGTCTCTCATTTTGCTCAGAATCACACACCAGTGGTCTGATACACAGCTAGTTCCCAGGCTCTCATATGCAGCCAGCTGCTGGCAGGAACTGGAGCAGAGAAGAATCTCCAAGTGCTCCTCTTTTTAGAGGTTTAAAGCCTCCGGGTCCTCGTGAACCTACAGTGCATAATCTCACATACTGAGACGTAGCTGGAATGCAGACGAGCTTTCAGACTAGTGGTCGCGTGGGCCTCCCCAGGCTTCATGTGTAGGAGCATATAGCCCTGGCACTTCTGCAGGGAAACTGTTGGTTTACATTAATCAGATTAGTGGCCATGAGTTTTCCAGTGGGGCTTATGAGGTCTGGACCTGCCTCTCTATCTCATCCCTCCCTCAGCTGCTCTTTCCCCTCCTCCTCACTGGTCTGACCCACTTCTCTAAAAACCAACAACCAGAATCTCCTTCTGTCTCTCTCTCTCTTCCCATCACCCACCTCTTTAGCAGGGACACATTAGATTCACAGGTCAATAGATTGTGTACTGGATGAGATGATTTTTCCATTTTTTTGTCACTGATTGCTGTGCTTCTCAACAGAGGTGCTCTGTATAAAAAATTAAATAAACTAAGGAAAAACTAATGAGCAGTCTGGTCTAGGCTTAGAGATATCTAATCTTTCTTACTTTCTTGGGTTTTCATCAAAGTGTATAATGGTGTTTATGATTTTAAAAGAAACAAAGGCAAAAAAAACCCCCAGCTGCTTTGTAACAGAAGTTATTGTAGCTAGGGATGTGATGGATTAGCTGGCAAGGCTACTAATCTTTGTGACCCCTGGGAAATGTTTTTTGTTACAGTTGTTATTATTAATACCACCAACACCAATTTGCTGTTGTTTTACCCAGCACAGAAAGAAGGGTCCCGGTGCTGGCACTGTTAGTGTTGTTTCCACTGGTATCTTATTTTTAATTTAACTGATAAGCAGATCATGAGCTGTGGACACCCAGAATTCTTCCATAGGCTTTTTCAGGTGGTTTTGACTGTTGTTCCTGCAGCACACGGTGTGACAGCCCCCTGCTTTCTAAAGGCAAATAGTTCACACACTTCCATGTTGGCCTTTTATCAGTGGGTTCAATTTGCAGTCACCTGTTTCACAGCTCACTGAGCTCAGCTAAATTTATATCAGGGTACTTAGAAATGGTGTTTATTTAACTGACAGGATTGAAGAAGTTATGGATGCAGGGGCGCAACCAATATTTTTAGTGGCCCCATGTGGCCACCCCTATGAAAAAAATTATGGAGGATTCCCTGTGTGGATGGCAGCACTTACGATAGAGTTATATAATAAAATAAAAAATCAACTTAAATCTATGAATAGTGAGTGATAGTTATGTTAAATTACAAGTCTGAGGTGTGCTAAAAAGTGAAGCTTAAATGGACCAGCTGATAAAATTGAAAGATTAAATGTGTGTTTTAGTGCTTTCTGCCACTTTTTTTTGTGTTTGTTGTGCTTTGAATGTCAGTTGTAACCGCTGTGTGTCCAGTCCATGTATTTTTTCTTCTACCCCGTCAGAATCAAGTGTTGTATTCATCACATCAGTTTAATATATAGTCACTCTGAAAGTTTACTTTATACATATATGATGGTAACGTCAAACTTTTGGTCCACCGCATTGGTCCACACTGAAATATTAGTTGGACAATATAACGGCTTGCTCTGAAATTCTTCAAACAATACACTACCTACCTACCTACCAACCTTACCCCTTAGCCACATGAAGTACAAAGAGGCCAGCAACAGATGGTCTGCCCTGATCTTGGCATCGTGAAGTCAGTCTGGGATTACTTGAAGAGACAGGGGAGACCAAGACGGACTAAATCCAAATAGGAAATCGAGCAAGTTCTTCAGTGCTGGTTTGCAGCTAGTTCTGACTTAGCGCCGTTTCAGAACCAGAATGGATTTCAAGCTGTTGAAATGAAAAACACTGAGAATGGACAATGTGATGCATCTGTGAATCATCTATGAATTTATTGCAGTAATGTAGTGATTCAAATGAAATACAGGACGCTTGAAACAACAGCAACTGGCACCCCTTCAAGCAACAATTCCAGCTGTATTTTGCAGCGGTAGTGTTACTGCTTGCAGTAGCAGCTCTCAAGCTTTTGAAGTATGCATCGCATTTGTATATGAGCCAGACGATAAAGAGAAGTTTTGACAAAAGTTATTTAAAAGTTGTAGTAAGAAAGAAAGGCATGTCGCAGAGATTCATTAAGAGATTAAACTCATTCTTGCTGGCACAAGTTAACCTTTTCCAGAAATGGGGACACATTTAAGAATTTTTAAAAAATTATTATTATTAGTAGGACCCTTTTTGTTCTTGTAGCACTTTTTCTCTTTTTCCCCTTCATTTTGTCAGTAATCAAAGATGAACCAGACCTGTTCTCTAAATAATGGATTGAAGGATAAAATGACTGATGTTTAAGAGTTGTGTGGTGAGACGGATGCCTTAGGACAGAAGCACAAGGAGAAGTTGAGGTGTAGATTTTTATTGCTGGTGTCATTTGATATGTGATTGATTTATTTGGCTGACTGTATCCATGTTTTGTTCACATGTGCACTTCTGCTTGGTTCATCATGCTTGACAAACCGGCCTAACATGCTTTATGAGTTTTGTTGCTGTGCTGTAGAAACCACATCAAAAAGTTCTTGTGTGTGATGTTGTGGTAAACCTATTTCTAGCTGCTCTGTGTTTTGAGTAGTTCAAAAACATCTGTCTTAAGTCACATTTGAAATTTGCTAAGCTTATCAAGAACAGTGTTCATCTTGCGGATGCATCTTATTGCTCGTCTGTCACATTTGTGACACTCATGTCTCTTGTGTTTCAGTCTTTAACAGCTTTGTGGCTCCCATCACTTTTGCTCTCTTTCAACAGTCCTGCTGTTCTGTGCAGGTCAGGCCTGACGGTCTGCTGCCCTGTTTCAGATCAAGGATTGGATTCCTTCAGGTGGTTAATGGAAAAACTAAACGAAAAACTGAGCCTGAGGCCACTCTGACAAAACATTCTTTCAGCTGCGATGGAAGACATCTTTCAAAACATTTCAGTGAGGGAACAACTCGCCTGGATCTGCCCAGAAGTAATTATGCCCTATTATAAAGCAGAGCCAAATTGTATTCTTAGACTCTACCAGAGCTTTGCATGATTTACTGTTCAAAATAATCCTTATTTAACTCGTACTGTGCCTTGGGAAAACACCAAAGTTTATTCGTTATCTGAAATAAACAGTTTTAGTATCTCTTTCTCTTTACCCTTAGTTTTGGGATTGGCTGCACCCTGTAAACAAAGGGTTTGACTGGCAGGTGGGTGGGGCTTATGTCCTCACTGCCAGAACTGTTTTTTTTGTTGTTGTCTTTTTTTTACTTTGATAGCAATCCACGAGTTGAAAAGGGGATTATAGTGAACTTTTGGCTCATAGAAACTACACACACAAACCTCATAGTATGTTACTTGGTTAATGTTTAATATGGGTTAGTGTGTGTGTGTGTGTGTGTGTGTGTGTGTGTGTGTGTGTGTGTGTGTGTGT